ATCAAATTTTGAAAACTCACTCGACACACACTTTCACTTTCAAGTGTGCCCTCACATCAAACATATAAATATATAACTATATAAATATATCAAAATATATAAATATATTTGTATTTATATATTTACACGGATATATATTTATTTGTAAATAAATATAATTTATTTGTAAGTTATTATCGAAAATTCTAGTAGTTTAGTGGTTGGAGTATCGACCTCCAACTCTAAGGTACTCGGGTTCCAATCTCGCTAATGACAATTCTCTTAAAAAATTAATAAACTTCTAAAAAATATAATATAAAGAGAAGGGAAACTTCTAGATAAATAAAAGTGGGTAAAGGGGTTGTAAATAATTTAAAATTATTAATTTAAAAAATTATATTTTCAACGTTGGTTTATTAGAACCGACGTTGACTTACAACGACGTTGAAAGCCTTATAGAACCGACGTTAAAAGCTTTATTTGTAGTAGTGGATTTCATCAATCATACTGGAGTACCCCTCCGAGCGCGCCACCAGTCATCCCCGATCTCGTAGTCTACCTGACCCGACTAATCAGTGAATTTTACCTACTAATAGTGGACAAATTGGAGTATTACTTAATCATGCGCCTATTGCCTCAGCTATAGATATAGGTATTTTGAGAATACGTCTTAAAGACCAATGGTTAACAATGGCTCTGATGGGGGGGGTTGCTAGAATAAACAATAATGAGATCACTGTTTTAGTAAATGATGCGGAAAAGGGTAGTGACATTGATCCACAAGAAGCACAGCAAACTCTTGAAATAGCAGAAACTAATTTGAATAAGGCTGAAGGCAAGAGACAAACAATTGAGGCAAATCTAGCTCTTAGACGAGCTAGAACACGAGTAGAAGCTATCAATGTGATTTCATAACAAGTTGATGCGTCCGAATATCCGAATACAATAAAAATAAAAAATAAACAGTAAGAAAAGTTAGAAAAAAAGAATCAGTAGAAAAGCTTATTAGATACCAAAGTCAAAGGTATCTAATAAGTTCGAACTACACCTTACCTACTATTGGATTTGAACCAATGACTCCTGCCGTATGAAAGCAATACTCTAACCACTGAGTTAAGTAGGTAATTTATGACTCCCCCTAAAAATAAAAAAGAATACTCATCTATCAGATCAATTGATTATAAATGTAATCTTACTGATAAACAATACCAACGCAATATCCATTCAAGGGATTCGATCATGTAATAGTTATCTTGACAAGAAATTAAATTATCTTCATACTATGATAAAATATGTATCAGCGCGCCACCAGTCATCCCCCATCGACTTCTCACCACCTGATCTCGTAGTCTACCTGACCCGACTAATCAGTGAAGTCTGGGACCTCATTCAGAATCCTCCGACATAGTTCCGGATTCTGGACCACTTGTCCTCACGGCTCATTCGGGTAAATAAAAATAGTATTTGACTTATTCTGGGCATTAGCCTTAGGCTCAGTCTGACCCACACACGTCACAACACACTACTTTCATTCTCTCTCTTTATATATATATTTTTCTAAAATCATTTTCGAAACTATTTTCAAAATCATTTCCAAAATCATTAAATTACTATTTTGCCCTTAATTTTTTCTTAAAATTCCATGTATGTCCCTAAATGACTATTTTACCCTTGAACATTTTCGAAAATTTCTTCCATGTCCCGAAAATGACTATTTTACCCTTGAACATTTTCAAAAATGACATCCTTGTCCCTTTCTTCTTCCTCGCTCCCTGTAAGCCATTTTTAAAATCCAGATTTTCCAATTTCTCGAGTTTAAAGCACCCAAATTAGTTTTAAATCAAAATTAAACATGCAATATGTCCAAATTAAGTCAAAAACAACAATTTTACTATATAATTCATCCTTAATTTAAAGAATTTCATCAATATTTAAAACTTTGCAAAATATGAATAGTAATCACCTCCAGTACACCATTTTCAAAATCTAGGTTTTAAATTTCTCAGTTTCAATCACCCAAATTAGTTCCAAATCAAAATTAAACCATAAACATGTTCAATTTAAGTTAAAAACAACAATTTTATTATATAATTCATTCTTAATTTCAAGAATTTCAAAAAAACTTCAAACGGTGAACAGTTTATCAGAATCAGAAATTCTTCAAAACCAGACATTCAATTAATTCATATCTCTACTCCTATTCCTTATTCACAGAGTACTCAACAATTCAATTTTATATATTGAATGAATTAAACTTCCCTTACCTTGTATGGTATTTTTACCGAAGTTTTTTCACTTAATTCAAACTCTATCCTGTTTCACCAGATCCTGCAGGAGTAGAGTATCGTTGCTTGAAATTTAGACAAAAGAAGAAGAAGAATGAGAGGAAATTTCCGCTTCAATATGTGCATATATAAAAGCAAAAATTTACTGTAGATGAGAAAAACTTCGTTACAAGTTTTCTTACACAAGTAATTTTGTTATAATATAAAAAAACATACGTCATACAGGATATTTTCTTTGAGATTTTTTACAAACTTTTTTATGTTTTCCTTACCAACGGTAGAAGAAGGTAAAGATAAAATAATATAATAAAAATGTTTCATAAATATTTGTTTTTTTTAGTGTATGATCGAATTCTGACTTATATATACTGATCATAAAATATAGAATATTTCAACCTATTGTAATAGGTTAGAGATTCTACTATAGTTTTTGTTTTGTGTGCGACTTATATTATTTTGAAGTGATAATAATAATTATTATATGTGACATATTGTTTATTTTGGATTAAACTTTAATAATTTATAAAAAATATATATAATAATTTCAGAAAGAGTAAATATATGTTATATATATTATAAGTTTTTGTGTTTTTAATTTTTTTTTTATCTAATCGCCATATATTATAATTTAGTCCTTTAATATTTTAGTCTATTATTATTATTATTATTATTATTATTATTATTATTATTAAAATTTCTGTTCAAAACATGCATAGTAAATGGTCAGAAAATATGCTTAATACAATTTTTATTTTATTTAAAGGACTTAATTAAGAAATTTAAGAGTCATAATTGAGAATTTATTCACAACAAAAGACTCCAATACAAGCTCACAATAGTTACCATAATGTACATAAGATCTTACCACAAAACAGAGAATAATTTTTTACTATAGGGTTTGTTTTAAGTGATTTATGCAGGATTTTCCAACTCTGACTTATAAATTTTTTAATTAAATTCTTAAAATAAAAGAAATGAAAAATATATTTCATATTCTTACTTAATACTTAAAATGTCACCTTATCTCATGTATTTTAAACTAATGACATTTTTAACTATATTGACTAAAACGTTAACAAACTAAATCACAATATATAGAAAAATCAGTTTAAAAAATATATTTAATATATTTTTTTATTATTTATGAAAAATAAAAATATTTAAATTATCCAAAAATATTATAATTTAATATATTATATATATTTTTAAATATTATATGATAAAATTGAAGAATTAGAAATATTATTGTTATGTTATAATTATTAAGATAAAATTAAATATTTACTTTAGAATACTTTTTGTAATTATTTAGTCTGATTAATCATGATAATTCAACTTAATTATAAATATATTTAATTATTAAATAAAAAATATTGTTAATGGATGAATATTTGATATTTTTTAATTAGATGTACAATTAATTTATTATAATAAATAATTTTAAATTAATTATTTATATTATTGTAAATAAAATTATTTACTTTTATAATAAATAAAATTATTTATTAGTATCATAATTTTAAATAATTAGTTGATATCTTTTAATTTTAATATTGATTTTAAAAATTATGTAATTATGTTTTTATTAAATTTTAGTATAATAGTTTTAACTAAAAAAATAAATGAGAGAGGAAAGAGAAAAAAAGTACCTTGAGATAGAATAAAAAAAATTAAGAGAGATTGAGGAAAAAGAAAAAAGCATGAGGGAATAAAGAGAGAGAAAAAAATGAGGAGAGAAGAAAAATTGGACATGATACAAATCTATATACCTCAATTAAAAGTAATTTTTATATTAAAATTTATTATCTATAGGATTGATTTATAAGGTGAAGTGAAAAATACATAAAAAAGGAAAAAAATACTAAAGTAGGTCAGATAAAATAATAATAATAAATAAATAAATAAAGTGAGAGAGACAAGAGAATAAATAAGAAAAAAAAGTTATATTATATTAAGGAAATTTATATTTATTATTAAATTTGTGTATGAATAACACATTGATGAAGTTAGATAAAGAAAATTATAAAGATTTTTTAAATTAGTGATAATATCGTTTCTAAATCATAAGATAATATGACTAATACTGGTCTGAATTTGTTAGACAAAAGAATATTTGAATAAAAATTTGTAAAACTTTTTTGTTTAGGCATCATCAAAGTAAAAAAATAAAAATAAAAATAAAGAAAATACTAAAACCTTGAGATTATTATAAAACATACAATATATAGAGTATAGTTGTTTTAATTTAATCAATTATATTTAATAATAGAGGTATTAAATATTTAAAGAATTTTTTTATTACTCATAATTATAAATTTTAAAATTGTATACATAAAATAAAAATCAAACTATAATACATTAAAAAATTGTACTTGACATGATAGGTGTTGTCACATTCATATTCTAATAAAAAAATTATAATATAAATGGATTAATAACAATAACTGTCGCATTCAAACTCAGGCATGCAAGTTTGAACGAAAGAAAGAAAATCTGTTTTACACACGACACATTTGAATGTCTGAAATAAACTCTTGCGAAGGGAATAAAGTAAAATGAAAGAGGGGTTGTAAAATTTGCTTCATTGAAATCTTGAGACGTTAACTAAGAAAACAAATGGCATGCACGAAGGTATGTACAATTACAATACCAAAAGTGAAAAAAGTTATCAATTCTTTAGAAATGGCACTTGATGGTGTGAAGTGAGTGATGAAAAGGGCAAGATGTTGCTAATTCTCATCTAATCATCGATGTAAGAAACTCAAAAACAACTTCATCACATGGGATGGTGAGGCCCATGTCATGATTGAAGCCAAACTCCTCCTCTGCTCTTTGGAGAAGAGTTTGAAACTGTGGATGAGCCAACCATGAAATTGGGACGATATATCTTGTCCTGTTTTCACCAACATACACCGCAAAGTGCCCTTTTGGCACATCTTCTGGAAGACCCTCTTCATTGTAGCTCTGTTTCTTGCCAAAGCTTGAGCATCTTCTCACTATTTGCTTGATCACTTCTGCTTGGGGTAGCTTATTGGATTTCCTTATGGCCATTGAAGCTTCTCAGAAACAGAGGTGGGTCTCTCGAAAAATGATATACCCTTGCACAAGTGTGTGATTGGTGGGGAAAGTGAAGAAAGAAGAGGCATTTATCATTGGACATTGGTGAGTGTTGAGAAGGGAAATCGATGAAGAGAAACAGAGTCACGTGGATGTGGGGACATGTAGCAGACCATACACAAATTGCTCGTACATGTCTGCGAGAGTTGCAATCTTGAAAGGAAAAGATTTAGATTTTTTTAACAAAATTTGTACCCATTAATGATAGAAATCTAGAATCAAACAAATTCAAACCTTTGATTATTATTATTCAGCATAAGAAAGTAAAATTTGATTTAAATTATTCATACAACTTGAACAAGTTCATCTTTAGATTCAGAATAGTAGTAGCATGTTTAAGATGAACATTAACTCCGAAAAATAAGATTGGAAAGTTGCATGTGTTTATAATTTATGCGGTGGACATTTAGTATGCAACAAATTCAAACATTTAATTATTGAAAAGCAGTTAATAATTAAGTTTGGATCTAACGAGGACAAGAAAAAGGATAGAATGAAACTTAGGTATTGTTGTGATGGATAACACAAACCTGCTTTATACAACTCACTTCACTCTGTCCCATCATATTATGCTTGTCTAAGGGTTCCCGAATGGTGATTAGACAAAAAATTGTTTAATTGTGAAGTGAATTTAATATACCTAAGCTAGGTATATTATACGTATAATATATAATTGTCTACGAATTATACGTATAAACATGTTTGAAATTGTGGTCTGACGAGGAAGTCCAAGTTGTGTGGATGAGGGGATAACGAAGATTGCTTCCATGAAAAGCAAGGTGGGACAGTTTCCTTCTTAGACTCCATCAAATATTATCTCATTTTTCAATAAATCTCTTTCCAAAAAATCTTCACTTTTCTCTTTGTTTCATGTACTTTTTCCATTCTTTTTAAGAAACTACGTTTATCTTTCACGCCAAATGTTTAATACCATTCAAAATAAACTAAATAAAAAGTATAAATAATGCCAAGTCAGATACTAAATGAATTTCGTTGCCACGAGCAAACTTATTATTAGATATTGGGCAAGAACACCATATTGTATTTTAAAAACTTTTATTATAACAATAAAAAGTTTTTTCTTAAATTCTTTGTTTCGATTTACAAAAATTAGATAAGATATAAAAATGATATATATTATTAAAGTAAAAAGTATATAAAATCTCTTTTCATCTTCTCCAACCTCTTCTTCCATTTTCATTTTTAGTTGCATTTTAAAAACTAAATAAATTTGAAACTGTGATTACATCAATGGCATAAGAAGATTGTAGTTTCATGGTGATGTTGCAAATTCAATGAAAAGGGTTTGATGAGATGAAGTTGAGCGACAAGATTAAAGCACTAGCGCAAATGACAAGTGTGAAAGATTGCAACCACCATAAATCCAATAGAATGGGAACAATATTATGTTATTATCATTCACTCTTAAACAATAATTTCTTGAGACTTAAACCAAAAAGTTTTTATTTATTACCTAACAATGGAACGTTCAATTGTGTTCTCCATTGTTGCATTGGCATCAACGCTACAATCACAATGTTTTAGTTCAGCATCAAACCAATTAAGTAACTCAAAATTGTTTTCACTCTTGGAAGCTAGGATATAATTGAAGAAGATTAAGGAGTTTGAATATAAATGTTTTGTTACCTTACTTTTTTTACTGATTATTATTTCACGTAAACATTTAAATATTTTCATAATTACTTTTAAATTTTTGTTAAGGGTATGTTATTGAAAAAAATCATTTTACAATTCATATTTTTAAGGGTATTTTGTTCAGAGCTGTTTGTGTATTTTTATTCATATTTTTCAACTTAAGATTGTGTTTTGATAAAAAAAAAAAAAGGATTTGGGAGAGTGAAAAAAAGTAAATTTGAGAAGCTGAAAAAAGAGTGAAAGATGAGATTTTTGAGTAAAAATATTATAAAAAATAAGATTGGTTAAAAATATTAAATAATTAGATAAATTGTAAATGACCAAAATATCTTTTATATAATTTTAATAAAAATGAATATAAATTAAAATTGAGATGTGATTTAATGTGAAATAGTTATTTAATAAAATAGATACAAATAAAGTTAACTTATATATACATTATAAATAAATATTAATATAATAAATAAGTTATTTATTCTTATATTATTATCATTATTTTTTTAAACAAATATACTAGTTCGTTTTTATAAATAATCTTTATATATTATTATATATGCTTATTTAATATTTTACTATTTTTTAAAATAAATTATTATAGCATAAATAATTTAATTTCAAATTTAACATTTATTTTAAATTATATAAATAAATTATATGTTTTCAATAATATATATATATATATATATATATAATTTAATTATTTTAATGGATGTATTTGATTATCTTCAACTACATTATTAACAGTTATTTTTTGAAAACAAATTATCTAAATGAATACATTTATAAAAAAATATATATAATTTACGACAAATTATTTTAATAATAAAATATAGATATAAAACAAAAAAAATCCCAAAAAATATAGACTTACTAAAAGTAGTAACTATTGATGATTTTTTTTAACTCAGATCTTAAATTTTTATAAAAAAAAATTAGAAGTTATTTTACTGATTCTAGTTATCTCGTCTAATAAAATTATATATTTATAAATTTAAAATGTGGAAATTATTTTAATTTATATAAATTAACAAAATTAACATGTGTAATTCTTTTTTTATAATTTTAAATATATATAGAGAGAATATTGGGTAGTAACGATAATAAAAAGGTTGATGTTTTTCCTCAAAGAATGCAACATTCAATATTCAAAGAGAGACATATGTGAATAAGTTACAACAAAGCTTGGTACAAAATAAACATTAAAAAAGAAATGATACTCTTATGAAAATAACACTATATAATAAAAATTGTCGTTACCAAACAAATTTTTAAAAACATTTTAGAATTTATTCCATATTAATTTTTCTGAAGCGATTTATAGTACATTTAGAAAAATTGTTTTTATTATTTTCACGTCTTTGTTTCTGTATGCTCTGTGTACCAGAAAAGAAATTGCATCATTTTCTTCATAACATATAAGCTTCTAATTTTTCTTAGGAGTTTTATGAAAATGTGTTTGGTCGGGCTTCTCCTTAAAAGGAGAAAAAAAGAAACTAAATAAAAGCTGGGTCAAACACACCCAGACCCTAGAAAATTAATTATGATGATTGCAGCTTAGTTCATTATATTTGTTTCTTGTGTATTTTCAATGCAGTAACGACTTTAAGCTCCTGTTTGTTTGAACTGATTTGTGACGAAATACTGCTCACGAAGACAGAAGCACGAGATTCACCCACATTTGGTTGAACAGATTTGCGAAGAAATGCAGGCGAGGAAAAGGGGGAGAGGGGAGAGAGACTTTCTTCGCTGATCTGCGAAGAAAAGAGGTGAAAGTCTGCTGGAAATAATGAAATGGCGATAGCGGTTAAATCTTAACCGCTATTATAATAGCACTTCTAATAGCGGTTAAATTTTAACCGCTATTATATATCACTTCTAATAGCGGTTAAAACATAACCGCTATTATATATCACTTCTAATAGCGGTTAAATCTTAACCGCTATTATATATCACTTTAGATAGCGGTTACACAGGAACCGCTATTAGATCCTCCAATTATGATCGATCATTTCGTAAATCTAATCGATCAGAATCATATTTCGCTCGAGCGAGATATAGTCGCTCAAGCGAAACACAACCCGAGACTCAAGAAATTAAAATATGATTGTATATGATAGCGGTTCCACTGGAACCGCTATCTAATATACACTTTAGATAGCGGTTACAGAGGAACCGCTATTATATCCTCCAATTATGATCGATCATTTCAACTTATGATCGATCAGGATCGTATTTCGCTCGAGCGAGATATAGTCGCTCGAGCGAAATACGGCTTATGAGCTCACGCTTTGAGAGTTGCTGTAGCCTACCTAAGCTCCGCTTTTTTCAGTTCAATCCAATCAGCAGTGGGATTAGAGAGCAAGCTGGCGTGGGGGCAAAGGCAATAACATCCGACTCTACTTTCTTTAATCCGACTCTGGCACTGATTCAATCAGGAATTGAGAAGCAGCAGGGAGTTGATGGAACACTTTAAGAACCATTCTTAAAGGGAGCTTATAATAGAGGTTAAACCTTAACCTCTAATAAATTTAAATATTAAAATTAACTTTATCAAAAATTAGGGAAACAAAATTGATCCAAAAGAGTTCAAAATGTATAAGAGTATTCTCAATTTTGATGTTTAATTATATTATTAATTCTCAAAGTAGAAAATTATATTGTAATTATTTTATCTCAAGTTAATGTGATGAGACGATCATCAACATTTCAACATTCGGAGTCAGATATATGGGACATCTTCGTCTCTCCCAGTTGTTCATGTTCTTGCACTCAACCTTTCCACCAAGAACCAACTTCCAGTTGTAATTCTTTCTTGGAAAAAGGATGCTAACAGTTGCTTAAATTGATTGCTTTGTTTTTTTAAAAACTGATATGATAAAAGTTCCAAGCAATTCTGTTTATAAAAGAGTTTTCAGAAAAAGCTGCATTAATTAATCTGTTGAAAGTTTGTTTTAATCTGTTGAAATAGCCGTTATAATCTGTTAAAAGTCCTTTCAACCCATTAATGCGTTCTTGTTCTTTAACAGAATTGTTTTAGCTGATACGACCAAGTTTTTATCAGTTAAAACTTTTTACAAACATTTTCTAAGAGTGATTTAATCGATTGATTCGCGGTTTAATCGATTGATTCAGTTTAAAACTTTCTTATAACACTTTTCAAGTTATTTTAACTGATACAAAGAAGTTTTAATCGATTAAAAACCTGCACAGAATTTTTTCTAAGTCATTTTAATCGATTGAAATGCGTTTTAATCGATTTAAACTCTGTACAAAAATTTTCAAGTCATTTTAATCGATTGAAATAAGTCTGATCGGTCATAATTCAATTCTGATCGATCATAACCAACTTCGATCGGTCATAAGTACATTCTGATCGATCATCCTGACTTCCAAAGTGGTTTTAATCGATTAAAACGTGTTTTAATCAATTAAAATAAATCTGAACCTTATTATATGGATAATTAATTAATTATATGAATAAATCTGAACCTTATTATATGGATAAATCTGAACCTTATTATATGGATAATTAATATATAATCAATGTTAAAATATGGATAAATCTGAACCATATTATATGGATAATTAATATATAATCAATGTTAAAATATGGATAATTAATTAAAAAATTATATTTATAATCATTTGAACCTTATTTGATACAAAGGATAAAATGGTAATTTTCTTAAATAATAAACATAAAATTATAATTTTTATATCTCATATCAATCAAATCATTCACAATTTCCCATAAACTTTCCTTTCACTTTTCAATCATCTCCATTTCTCTTCAAATCCCTCCTTTTCCACTCTCTCAATTCCACTCTCTCAAATCACTCCAACCAAACAAAGCCTAAAAGAAGTTTGGTAATATCCAAACCGACTTTCCATTTTTACCTTTTTTGCTCGATCAAAGCTATCTGCAAGAACATACTGCTTTTTGGGTGGCACAATCTCTTCAAATTGAACCACGATAACGACTATTAAATTAAGTGCTGTCATTTCTTTACGTTCAAACAAGAAGCAAAAGCGACCTTGCAAACAATTGCAGCAACAAAACACAATATTGATCCTCAATTGTCAAAAGAACAAACACGTGATTCCATGTTACTCTTGTCCAAAATCCTACACAAGACAAAAACTGGTAGGCACCTAAAGTCGCAGAAACATCTTTCATAATGAGACCTTCTTGCAAAGTAAATCAATCATGTCAACATCAGTAATGTAAAAACTCTTGCAAAGTAAAGTTTGATCAAGTCTGTTTTATCTTGTCAACATGCACAGTTCAGTTATCCTGGTACTGTGGTTTCTGTTGTCTCTGAGAATATTACACACAACATTCCCTCAGTCACCACAGGTATTTTATGTGATACTGGAGCGAGAATTTTTTATCTTTAAATATCATAAAATACGACAGCGACACGGGTTATTGCATATAAATGTATCTAAAGCAAAAGGGTAATATGTTCTCAAAACAACAGAAATCTCTTCATACCATTGAATCTGTATATATCATCTCACTATTAAGACCCTCGATATATCATCTCACTATTAAGATCTGTATATATCATCTCACTATTAAGACCCTCGATGTATCTATCTTCACTTTTATCGCAGTGGCTAAAAAGGTAAACACATTCAATGATACTCAGCAGACTATTTTCTTTATTACGAGGAACCTGGGTATCCCCAGACTATAGAACAAGAGAAATTTTTTGGTCTCAAATATTTGATTGGCTATATATTTGACCGGTTTTTGATGACTTGGTTTCTGGTTTCAAACATCTACAACAAAGCATGTCTTGTTTTTCTCATTAAAGACCACGCCAAGTTTACATTCTAAGGAAAAATATTTTCCGTGTTTAATTCTGAAAGAGGCATTAAAATGGCAATCAGAAATTAAGATACGAGGGATTGATGATGTTTATGGAACCATCCATGGATGCTTCCTTCTGGATTAGAAGACCTATGGGCTTCACTTAGAAGCCTCCAGTTGTCAGTAAGGAAGAGCTAAGCAAGCATTTTGTAAATGGCATTTACAAGTTTGAAGCGCTCAAGGCCATCATTTTACATTGTTCATTCAATGCCAGAAGTTGGGCCTCTTTCTTGTCAAGCACAGCACTCAACCTCACATTCTCCTCCATAAGTTTCTGAACTTCAGCCTCTTTCTGCATTTTCTCACCTTCCAACTGAGTAGTCTTTCCAACTAGGCTGCTCAAGAGAAAATAACAAGCAGTAAGAAAAATAAATCTTTCGTTTTTAAAAGAAAACAAAACTCACTACGAGAATTTGGGATAAAATTAAACCCGATTAGCAGGAAAATATGTGGATATCAACACGTCTGTGTTACACAAGCACGTATCAATACTGATTAGGCACATACTCACTGTCATCCCATCCTACCAAGTTATCTTTTACATACTTTTGGGCCTCAAACTTTTGCTTCAATTGGCTTAGTAATAGCAGTTATACCACTCCATTATTTTCGAAAAGTTATTTTGTCTGTTGTGTGGCTATAACCTGCTTCTATTGGTACAAAGCCTGACAAAAACCGGAACAAATTGTAGACAAAAAATATGTCTGTTTATGGAAAACAGTGTTACACCACAGGTATTCAAGCGACCTGGTTCTCACCAAAATTTTCCCAAATCCAAAGACAACTCCCCCTCTTATTTATAGGCAACTCCAAATTAACGAACTATGATTCTCTCAAACTCTCTTAACTAACTAATGGCTATCTGTCTCACCCAAAAAAAAGGAAACAAATACAAGGACATTTGAAGAATATAATTATCTAAATTCAAAAGAATGAGAGAGAAGGTAGCCTGAACAGGGAGAGACACCACACTTTCAGTAGCAGTACTGACAGTGATTTGAAAAAAATAAATTTTATGAATTAGAAGCTAATGTCAATTATATAGAAACTATCCAAATTTATCTGTATTCACCCAATGAAAAATTAAGAATCCATATGTTTAGGTAGTCACAGTTGGGAGTAGCAGGAAAAATGCATAATAAAACTATATTCAGACAGAAACACAAGAAAAATCTGCAAATTAAATGGAGATGATAAACATGCCAACTCCCAATAAGGTGATATTTTAACATATAAAATTAGTAACTCATTAGGATGATCTGTTATACAAATTACTAATTTTAATAAGCAACCTGGACAAATTGAATGTAAGTTACTCAATTAGAAGGTATTGTTAGTTGTTTTGTTTAGGACTGCTGTCACGTTTACAATTTATTCATTTATTTATACTTTGAATAAGTCAAAGTTATTTCCTTATTTTTAGGAGTGAGATATTTTTCAGTGTTCAGTAGTGGTCAATTATATTTACTGGCTATATATGAACATTTTGTTACAATTTTAAATCAATTAATATTATCTCTCATTTTAGCACACCACTGTTGCGCTGCTATAATCTAGTTTCTATCCTTCACATTATCTCTGCCCTTCTGCTGCCTTTTCCCATCACCAATAGGTATGAAGGAGAAGACTTCCTCTTGGGGGGGAGGAGAGGTTATAAGTCATTTAAGGATGAGATTTTGTTCAAAATGAAGCACTATGGTCATTGGATAACCAAATCATAATGAAGAAAACTAAAACTGAGAATCAAGTTAGCTCTCTTAAATAACACTTGAAATGATTTTCTATTATATCATATAAGAATAACAAGAGCTGTGCTCCTGATATCCAAGTCCATAATAAACACTGTCCCTATGACGAGGAGGATGCCCCATCCCCAAGTAGCAAAAAAGGAAAAAATTATTTGACACATGTAAACAAACTGGATGTGAGAAAAATCCCTCACGGACATGCCATCCAGAATAAATATAATAAGTACATTTAAGCATAAAAGTGCTGCAGGAAGTGGGCCATCTAAGACAAACAATTTGAAGCAGAACAAATAAAGATAATTATCAAGACATTTAAACATAAGCAATTGCATAATAAATATTTACCGTTCAAAAAGCCTCTCAATAGTTTGGAATTGCTTCTCTGAAGAAAGTAAGGTTTCTCTTACTGTGATTAGACTACTAACATATGATTTCAGAGACTCAAATTCCTGTTTCACTCGAGAAAGTTCTTCGTCATTTTCAGCAGCTCGCTGTCTCTGTCTAGTTGTTTCTTCAACCAAATCTGTAACTCTTTGCCGCATGTCATTCAAAATACCATTTGTACCCAAAGCAAAACGCTCCATCTCCTCTAATTTCATGGACATACTCTCTAACTGATCGGACTTTCGCATGATTTCTTCCTGACCTAAACTCACTTTTTCCTTCTCCATTGTAGTTTCTGATTCTGCCAATAAAACCCTTTTGACAAGGGCTTCCATCACATCCGTGACCATCTGAACAGACTTAAGTATCTCACCTATATAAACTGCATCTTGTTCATCTACGGAACCAAGCTGACGTTTAATTTCCATCCAAGATTCTTCATCTGGATCATCAAATGAAGAAAGATCAACATTCCTAGACCAACCTGATAATGGAATCCCATCTTTGTCAACAAGCCCTACTCCATCTAACTTTTTTATGCCACAAGATGTATGGGCTAGATGAGGAACAGCCATGATTCTAGCTTTCGATTTTAAGTAGGACAACAGGGTAGAAGTAGTCTTGACTCTTCGCCATAGAACCTCTAACTCCTTTTTTGCTTCTTCCTCTGAGCCTTGTATGCAAGCCTTTACCTCCATTATCCTTGCCTCCAATACATCCACTTGAGATTGATTTCTTTCAATCTCCTGCTTTCAAGATTCATGTGACTGACTCATCTTAGCCTTCAAAGCTGACATATCATCATCTGCTGCCATGTCCTGCCCAGTTTTGAATAGAAAAATATGAGAAAATAAATAATACCAAAGCCAGTTGTGCTAATGTAATAATCATAAATGAGTCCATCAAGATAAAGATATGCCTTGGATGTTAAAATACGAAAATTTATAACAAACTGTGGTAACTAGAAATATATGGTAAAACTCAATCAAATAGAATGCAAGAAGATATAAGGCATCTGTAATTGAGCTTCAATTTAAGAACCAAATTCAGAACTGACTCCAAAAGATCGCAGCAAGGTGCCCATACAACAAGTATTGAAGTAAAATTATAAAGAAAGCACAATTCACAGGAAAATTAGTCAGCATTTTAATCTTATATAATTCACACAGTTTGCCCCTTCCAAACTCATATATATCATAAATATTAAATACAACCAAGAAATAATACAGCAGTGTTGTCAATGCTAGAATACAGAAACTAAAGGAAGCTAATAATCCGCTATATCTTATAGCAGATAGTGTCATGGACAGATAGACATTACATAGTGATTGAAGTTTATGATATTTATCAATTGTTATGTATAACAGAATCAGTTGTATGCTACTAAAAATAAAATGCATAAAAACTGACATAATCTACTTTATAGCAAGACATGCCCATAAAGTTTAACAAAGTACAGTTTTGTTCGAAACTAGGTTCAACACGAAAGGAAACTTAGAGCAAATGGATAACCGTAGTATACCGCCAAAAATTGAAAACAAACACATAATGCCTCTGGAAAAACAACGGCACCAACAAAAACAGTTAATTTTTTACATGCTATAATTCTTCAAACTTTTCTTAATTATTATTTTCGTAAATAATAAAAAACCCTCATAGTTAAATCTATTGCATCTACCAGTTAAAGATCAAAGCAATGCATCAAACGGTTACCTCGACAAATAGACCAAAAAAGAAACCTAAACAGTCTCAACTAATATTCCCCCAATTTATTTTCTTTAATACTTTAAAGTGATCTGCGCGAAGAAAAGGGGATTCGAAACTGAAGCGAAAGGCAGAGATGGATGGGAAAAGGTTAAACCGAAAACCCAGTAAAACGGAGGAAGAGATAAAGGAATTTGGAGAGTTTGGATAAGAAACAAAAGAAAGAGAGAAAAACAAAGAAAGAGGAATCTAGTAAAAGCGAACACCAATAAGAGAGAGAACCTGGTTAGATGAAAAGCGCGTTGAAGGAAGAAGAAGAAGAAGAAGATTAGTTTGATGCAGGTGTTACGGCTATGTGTGCCTGTCTTTCTTTCTCTTTGTAAAGAAAAAGAAAAGAGAGGCCATGAAAACATTACAGAGATAAGCAACAGATGATTTATTCATTGTCCCCATTTCTCACTTTTCCCTTTACCTTTTTTTTTTTTTCTCTAACTTTAAAGCTTGAATATCAAAATTCATAAATTTTTGTTAATCTTCTAAAATTATTTTTAATTCTTAAATTTAAGAGAATACATTTTTCCCTTCCAACACTAATGACATTATATCTTTTGTTGAATTCACATCAAAGGATAAAAAAAATGATTTATAACAACATTTATTGTATTGTATAAATAAGTTTAAGTCATTTAAAAAATAAATTATCAAATAATGTTTTTAAGATAAATTTATTAATAATTTTAAACTTTCAAAATTTTAGTAAAATAAAATAAAATCTATTCGTATATTCTAGTCATAATCATTATACTTTAATCTTAAAAAAAAGTCAACACTCTATTTCTTAAAGAATAAGAAAGATAGAAAATAAGAATTGATTAAAATAACTAAAACTAAAGAATAAAAATAAGAAAGATAAAAGTAAGAAAAATACCTCAAATATTATTAATTGTATTTCCCAAATTAAACACGTGTTAATTAGTTGATAAATTTGCAATTATATCAATTTTGATAATAAAAATTAAAATTTTTCCTGCTAAAATACTTAAAGAAACTACTTTAACATTTATGGACTACTTAAATTTAGGAGACTTAAAATACAATTTTTTTTATTTAAGTGCCTAAAAAGATATTTTAGATTTGGAGAATTAAAAATTAAAAAATAAAAAGTTTTTATTTCAATTACACATGTTAATGTGATGTGAAAGCACATTAATCCATAATATTGTAGAGAGAAGAATATTTTTTAATATTAAGAATTAAAAAAAATATTAAGAAATCAAAATCACATTTAAGTATTTATTTTTAACTTAAAAAAACAAATATTCCACACATGCGTGTCCGAAGTAAGAACAATACAATATAATCACTTTAAATTTATGATAACAATAATTTGTATTTACATCACAACGTAATTTTTTTAGATTAATCTCAACGAATAGTTATAAAATCTCCTTGCAATTATTGTTGTTAAAAACAATACGAATTTATTTGAGTAAAAAAATCTGAGATTATATTAAGAACATTAATTATTATATTTTTCCATGGTTACTCTGAAGTATGTATTAATTTTATAAATAACTTAATCTTCTTATGTATGATGTCTCACTTTTTAACGAGATATATTTTTTTTACTTATAATAAATAAAATTGAGATATTACTGTGGTGTCCAATTTATTATTATATTTATAATTATTTTGGTAAATTTATAAGTATTATATTATTTAAGAGGTGGGACTAATGATAATTTATATTTTTTTATTTAATTTATTAAGTCGTATTTTAAAGATAAAATCGTGACGAATGAATATTAAAGTTGACATGTAAGAATTGATCTTGACAATGTCATCATGATAAATATAAAATTGGTTATTCTCGTTCCTAGACAAAATATTGGTACTCATCGGGGATGAAGAGTTGAGTCTCGTTCCACTTATAAGAAGTTACGTTCAAGTAAACTCGAGTTAAATGTTTAAGAGTTAACAATAAGAGTTTTTTTTTTTAATTTATTGATATGTTTTTTAAAAACAAAATGGTGATAAATGATATATTTAAATGAATAATTCTCAAATATAAAAATTAATTATAATAATATTATTATAAAGGAGATAAAGCCAAACAAAATAATAATAATAATAATAATAATAATAATAATAATATAATTTCTAACGTGATTTTTGGCTCTAAATTCTTTTCCATTCATATCAACATATTCTTATTAACCTTTATCTGTTGTAAAATTTGGAGGAGTTCTTAAATAAATAACTAATATTGTGTATGTAGTTAAATCTCCAACTATTAATAATTACTTTTGATTTGTACTAATAATCATATTAGAAATATTTTATTATAGATATAATATAACATATAAATATTAATTCAATTATTACTTTTGATTTGTACCAATATTTATATTTATATAAATAAAATATATCTTATATAAATATTAGTTTTATATAATAGTATTAGAACTCACTCATGGTTTCTTTCTTCCATGATTCAGATTGTATATTTTACTAATTATCCTCGTACGTAGTAAAATAAAGTCTCCATCAACTACTTCAGATTTCTTTTAATATCTTTGTCAATTTTATTGTTTGCATATTTATTAAATTGAAACATACACTAATAAATGACATGCATTATGTCTCTTATATATATTTTTTATATTAATAGAATATTTCACCATAAGATGAAAAACATGTCAGTAACAATAAAAAATTTGACAACCAAAAGAAAGATATACAAATAATTCAGATCAATTAATAGAGAAATACATTGACCATAATATAGCATGATAGATTTAACTAAAATAATTTACTACTTGTTCAAGTAGCTTGTCTTTAAAAAGTAAAGTAATAATTTTAAATTAGTGGTTAATATTAGGTGTACATTCATAATAAATCATAAATGTTTTAAATATCAATATTTAGTAATCAACAACCTACCGAAGTAAGATAAAGAAAAGCTCATCTCGTTGCTTCATTATTGGTCATCATTGAATAAAAAGACCAAATAAAGAGTGTTTATTCACAAGGTTAAGAAACGGAATCTAGAAGCTCTGTACATATCTCCAACATGTTGCTTCTCTTCATAAATTAAGCAGAAAAGCTTATCGTTATAGGTGTTGATGCCAAATAAAGCAAAACTGTTGGAAGGGGTTGTTGAAAAATTATTGATATCTTCAAAGGGGGGGTATTCACATAAATTCTAGAAGGACAATGTCAGGGTGGAACTGGCAACCAAACCAGATAAGAGAGCAACAAAGAGGGCACTATTGTAAGTTGTTGGTTCAGCTTGCATAGAGTTGTTTCGGAAATCATTGTATGTCTCATTAAGGAAAGGACCACCAACTAGTGCTCCAAATGCAACATTAGGATTGGGGTAAGGTGAGTGAAACCACTTGAATCCATCTTTGCAACCAGTTGTAGCATTCACTGGAATAGAAGACCCTCTGTGATGTATGTAATTGGGGTTGTGAGTTCCATATCCCACAAGATAACTCATCTTCAGAGGATTTTCACCCAACACATAATCTGCCTGAAATTGTTCAGAATAATAGAGTCACATTCATCCTGTACTAATGCATGGGTGCTGGTTGACTAAGAAATTTTGAAGCTAAATATAGTGATGATTATAAGATGGAAAATGTTTCTCTCATTTTATAAGGCTTGCATACCTGAGAAATGGCAAATTTGCGAAGATCTACTGGCTTATATATTTTCCCACTACAATATAGTGTTTCGGTTTGAGATGTCCGCATGTAGTCACTGTAAAGAATAGCTAAGAATGCAGAAGCCACTGAATGTTGCAAAGAGTTCCATGGCACCACCCATATCAGTCCACCTGTTGGATAGTGATAGTTTGTTCATTCAATCGGGGAATATTAATAATTGATACCTTCTTTTGCCATCTTTTGCATTAATAACATAAACTTCTAGGTACCCTTTTGGCTGAATCAACGAAAAAGAGTACACTGATAGACACAAGTTATGCAAATGCTAAAGGGAAGAGATCAATCCTACTTTCAGTTCTGTTGGTGGTGGCTGTTGGTGATTCAGGTAGAAGCTTGCAGATGAGGATTTCAGCAGTTTCCCTGTACATTTGAAGGTCAAGGTTCTCTGCGTCAGGGATGTTACTTGCCCCGAAGAAATCTACTCTGGACAAAAGGACCTAGTTCAACATCACAAAATGCATGAAGAGAATATCTATCACAAAAATTAATATGCCTAATTAATATAATAGCTACCAAGGAAAGGTGAACAAAAGAAAGCGTTTAATTTCTATGTACTTTTAGAGTAAAAGAAATTTTAACACTACCAATCAATTCAAAAACATGGTTAGCATGATTTTAAGGTCCTAAGTTATAGAGTCAATAAACTTATCATACACAGGTAGTTTCCGAGTGAATGATAGTGCATGGACTATTTACTAAAAGCTAAAACACTGCATCATAGTTGTTACCTGAGTTGCAGCATGTTTATCATCCCAACTAAACCACGATGGGCTTCCTAAACTACCAAATGCTTTCTCATTCTGCTCTGTGACATAATTGAGATATGATGGATCCTTAGTTGCATGATAGAGCCAGGTACCTGCCCATAAGAGTTCATCCCCATAACCAGATGAGTTGTAGTAGTTCCCCATTTGAGGGATGCTGACACTATAGGAAACTCTATATGTATCAGCAAAAATAAACAGCTGTTGAGCATGTTGTAGGAGAATCCTAGAATATGTTAAGTCAATCTCCTTAAAAACCAGAGATGCCGAGGCCAATGCAGCTGCAGTTTCAGCCGCAACTTCTGTTCCCGGAAAAGATGAGTTAACTTGAGTGAGTAGCCTTTCTTCATCCATGTCTTCAGGCCTTTCCCAGCAATTATGATCTACCTCAGGATCCCCCACCTTCATCAAGAAAACATAAGCGTGTTTGATTCAGCTTAACAGCGAAAAAATTGGCAAGAAAAAACAAATTTATGAAACTTGGCAAAACCAAGTTATAAAGTCACACTATATTTAATACCAAATTATAAAAATCTTAGAATAATCGCGCCACAAAACTAGCATTATAATTGAAAAACTCGAGACATGATAAAACGGCTCATCACCAACTACAGCCTCTTTAGCGAGTGGAAACATTGCACAAAGTGGAAGCAAATAGTTGACCTGAATGTAGAGCACTTCTGCAAAAGGGTGTGCATTAACAAGATAATCAGTGATCCATTTTAGCGAGTCAAGTGCATAGTGAAGCTGCTTCACCGCATCCATGCGATCTCCATATTCAAGAATCGCCCAAGACAACACGGTGGCAGTGAAAGCCATGGGGAACCCAAATTTCATGTTGTCACCAGCATCATACATTCCTTTCGACAGATCCAAATCCGCTTCACTCCCATCTCGTAGCCCTGAATCCCCTCGCCACAAAACCCTCTGATTCTCCACCTTACCAGCTACAAGCACATTTTTTTGAACAAAAAAATCAACTTGGGTATTTGGAAACCATGTTATAATCTTAACAATATGAAGTCTTTGTTAGAGTATATGCATTATTTACATTTCTGGACGTCGAAAAATTGCAGAGCCAACTGAAGAGCAGAGGCGTATTTCTGAACAACATCGGTGGGGTGAGAAGTGAGATCAGCTGAATCAGAGTGACCAACCTCAAACTTGGTTCTCAGAGAAAAAACACCAGCACCGACTACGAGAACTGCGATGATAGACACTATAAACCAACAACACAAGGCACCAAAGTTGTGCTTTTTGTTGGGTCCTGTAAGCTTGTGTGGTTCCATTAAATTGAAAGTAAGGTAGTTTTTACGGTTTGTAAGTTAAAACATGGTGATTTTAGACCACGGTTTTTGTAAATGCAGAAGAAAGTGAAGGGTGAGAAGAGTAAAGAGTATTCTGCTTCTTTGATTTTGTAAAAATGACAGGGAAGGAAAAATCTGCTAAATTATTATTATAAACTATGAAAATCCGATACGCAACCGAGCGATTGCACCGCCGGAGAATGGTGCCACTTCGAACGTCCAGACAAGGATTTGAGGTTCTTCAGTTGATTCTTTGTAGGATGGTTCAGGACTTAGTTTTACGTTAAGAAACAATAAATAATATAAATATTTAAATTAACATAATTTTTTTATATTCTTAGATATGTAATTTTATTAATTACAATATTTAATATTATTATTCATAAAATAACTCTATATAATTTCCTTGAATTATATAATCAAGAGTAACTTCTATATTACTTTTGTTAAATAGTCATTATTTTTTTATGCTACAGTATATTTTTCACATGTAATTGTAATAAAAAATATCTGTCATATTGAAAAAGTTTAGAACTCAAAACACTTGATGGGTTTTTTTTCCCAATCAAGAAGAAAATTACATGCATAATATTGTGTTCTATACAATGGGTGAGTCAAATATAAATATAAAAATTGAAAATGCATTTACTGAGACGGCTATGGGTAACTTTTGCACCATTTTGTGTGGTGTTTGTTTCAAGCGGAAGTTTTGGTTTTGGTTTTTGTCCACTGCCTTGCCTTCACTTCCATTTCACCTTGCGTACAAACCTTAACTTCTCTCTCAAGTTTTTAATAATTTGAGCATATAAAAAGAAAATAAAAATTATCTCCTCTAAATAATCTATTCTTTAAATTTAAATATTTTGAATACTTGATAATCAAAATTAAAAATAGTCTATAATATTTTTAAGATATTTTTAAAATAAAATATAATAAATTCAAAATCTAAAACGGATAATATATTCAATAATTTAAGAAAAAACTACAGTTACCTTCATTTATTTTTTTTTCTTTCAGCTATCTACTTTTGAACTTCAACTTAAAAAAAAAATAATAATGAAAATATACTAAAAGTAAAATCCATGTGACAAACCCAAACTTTGGGTTTCAAATGAACGCAATAACGGAGGCCCACTGGGCCGGAATAAAATAATTTGTCAACTTTCATTATTTGTTTAAAATAATTTTTAAATTAAAATTTGTGAACAATTTCTAATTTATTTTTCGAAATAGTTTTTAAAACATAATTATTAAAATTATTTTTAAATGTAAAAATAAAATGAAATAGAATAATAGCTGAATATTTTAGATTTTTTTCTTTAACTTATGTATATATATATTAGTAGTATCTGCAAAGCAAAAATAAAAATCTTTCTTCCGTGTCGTTTGTTTTGCGCGACACAGAGACACAGAGAAAGAGAGAGAGAGAGTTGTTGAGTTGGGTTGGGAGGGAAAGATGTTGAACGCAAAGGGAGTTGAAAGTGGAGAAGGGAGAGAAGGGGATTGGGAGTGCAGCAGTTGCAACAACAGGAACTACGCTTTCAGATCATTCTGCAATCGATGCAAGCAACCCCGCCTCCTCGTCGATACCAAAACCCCCGCTGATTCCAAGTGGCTTCCTCGTATTGGCGATTGGATCTGCACCGGTTAGCCCCAACCACCCATTTCTCTCTCTTTTTCTTTTTCTTCCGAACCATCTTTTTCGTATACCTTTCTCTTTTCTCCTTTCATTCCCTCGTCTTTTCTCAATTGCCCTTTCCCTCCTGTTTTCTGTCATGGCTGCTCCAGAGGGGTTCTTTCTGGGAATGAAATGGAATTAGGAATTTATCCCTTTGTTTACTCATCTTTTACTGTATGACCTAGTGTGGTTGTTTCCTTTTGGCTCCTCTATGGAACACTTACTAGTGTATAGAGGCATTCTTTTGCCAAGTGAATACGTAGTATATTTAGGTTAGATATTTTTTTTTCCTGAAAATATGATTCTTTATTTAAATTTTACTTCTTTTTAATCATTAAGTGTGCATTTTTAGTTTCTCATCAAGGATTGGAAGCACATGGGATTTGTAACTTTCGCGAAGGACTAAAATTGAATAGAATTTTAAAAGGACTCTAGCTCAGAAAACAATATATACTTTCTCTTGAATTAGTTTGTTTTCTTGTAAGTGCTTATTGAGAAGCTGATTCAAACAGGTTCACAGTGTAAATTTGGTAGTGTTTTTATGTGTTCTGTTTTTAAACACTAGTACTCTCAAGGACAGAAACGTGTGCCACCATTCATTAAGCTCTGTTTATTTCATACATGGTTGGGGTTTTAGCACCTGATTAACCTTAAAAAGGTGTTCGAATTTAGCATGACATTTGATTTTGATTTATGATCTTCTGTTTCACATTGAGATGAAGAACTTGCTATCGCCTAGGTTGAGATGTTTGTGCTTTTTGTATGTGTATTTTGTGTGGGATGGACGGGTTGGTGTGCGTGGGACGTGTTGGTGTGCGTATGCTTGGCTTCCTTTCCCTCTGGCTGCTTTCTGGGGCTGGGTTTGTATGCATTGGAACAATAGGTTGCACTAACAACAATTATGCATCAAGAGAGAAGTGCAAGAAGTGTGGACAACCTAAGGAGGTAGCAGCCATGCCAGCAATTGCGATGACTGGAACATCTTTCCCCGCTTATTCACATTATTATTCCAGGGCCCCAGGGGGACCAGAACAAAAGATGAATATTGGATTGCTTGGCAGTGGTGCGCCATCACAGTCACTACATTTAAACTCCAGTTGGCCCATTCCTGGGGCAGATAAGTATGGTGTCCAGCCAATTTCCATATGGTTACCAGGTGGAAATTATGGCTCTGGACATCCTCTTGATAATTCCACCAGCCAGAACCTATCTGTTCCGAAGGGATGGCGCAGTGGGGACTGGATCTGTAACTGTGGCTTCCACAATTACTCTTCCCGCTCTCAGGTATGTCTTGAAGTCTAATTGAAAGGGAGGTTGAGTTATACAGTATACAAGAGTTGAAGTGTTCATTATTTTTCTGATTCAATGTTAAAATTATTTGCAGTGTAAAAAATGCAATGCTTTTCCACCTGGTATGGCTTCCTTCCTTTTGTACAGCCTTGTTAGGTGCAAAATGCCTACTTTTTATCTTCTATCAAAGATACTTTGTACAAGTGCATAAGTTTGGAACACACATTCTTATGGTGCTCTATTGCCCCGCAGATAGTCCTGCTGGGGCTCATTGCATTCATAAGAATATTTTTGGTTATTTAATATCAATAATGATTTTCTATTTCTAGCAATTGATGTTAATCTTCATGCTGTTTCCACTTTTTTGGTGTGAAGCACTTGGTACAAAGCGGTTAGCCTCTGAAGAGTTGGCTTATGACTGGGACAACAAGAGATTGAATGTAGGAACTGTAAGGACTTTTTTGTTTTAGTTAATTTCTGATTCACTGCAGTGGTTTTAAAATTCTATTTTGACAAATTTAAAAGCTTCATACCGTCCTACTTGTTTTTCAGACAAATGATCAGCATCGGACCTATACAAGTTTGGATCAAGTGGTAGGGACAGTTGCAGATCCAAAACCTGGAGTCTTCCCCTCTTATCCCAGCATGAACTCAAGTACAGCTCCAAGTTTGCCATTGGCCACACTTATTCCACCTCAAGTCTCTACACCTGCCCTCCTTGGAAAAGGGTAACTAATTTCTCTCCCCGAGAATCCTATAATATTATTGCAGATTGAAGACATATTTATTATATTTTTTGAATAGTAGATCTAAAGTTAAAGATGCTATCATACTTTGCTAGGCTCAATTTAAATGCATTTTTTTTTACCTATTGTACCTATTTAGAGCAAAGCAATGGCGTAGTGGAGACTGGATGTGCTCAAATTGCAACAATCATAATTATGCTTCAAGACTACAGTGTAACAGGTCATTATCTCATTCATATGATTTCTGTGTATAGAGGGTGCAAAATTAGATGCCGTTAAAGTGAAGACAAAATTTTGCCCGTCATTAACTCATTATGTACCAATCAAAACACGTTCACATTTTGTATTGCATGTTTTCACTGAATAATCAATGCTCATCATATGCAGGTGCAAAACACAAAGAATGGCCCCCATGCAACCTGTTAATGTTGTGTAATGTTGAATTCATTACTAGTTAAAGTGCTGTGACGTGCCCTAGTTTGGCTGAGTTTTGTTTTGATTTTCTAGCTTGTATTTTGCCAGAAAAACAAGTTGATATTCTTGACAGGCTCGTTATATTTGCGTAAGACATACGTGGTTTATGCTTAGTGCCATCATACCTTTTAGTTTCTGAAAATGTATTGCTTTCTATAAATAGAGGATTGTGGACGAGTAAGTGAGTTTTCTCTTCGCGTATCCTTTGTCTTTTATCCTCAATTTTTTGGTTACAACTAGGGATGGCAAAACGGGCCCGTCCGCCCCGTTTTGGCCCGCCCCGCTTTTGGCTTGCTAAAAGCGGGGCGGGCTGGTCCGATATAGTCATGACGAGTTAGTAGACCTTAGTCCGCCTGCATAGTAGTGGCTTACCGCCATAATTTAGAAAAAAATAATTTTTTTAAATAAATTTGTTTAATAAATTTAATAATAAAATTATTATTTGTTTGTCAATAATTCAATAAATATATATATATATATATATATTATTTCAATTTAATAATATAAATCAATACATTATTTTAAGAAATTATAATTTAGAACAATAATAAAATTTACATAATAATAAATAATAACAAATATATATATATATATATATATAAATAACATTAAACTTATAAAATTTATATTTTTTATATTGAAAAATTTAAATTATTATATCTTTTTTATTTGATAAAACTTCATGTTATTCTTAGTTGAGTAATTCTTACACTTTTAATTCAAGTAATAAGAATACAAATAATCGAGTCTTAGGATAAACAAGGAGAACATGTTATGTTTCGGGAAGGAGAATATTTTATGTGAGAATGAAACTTTTTTAATTATTTTTTTAAAATTTTTAACTTTATATATTATCTTTATAATTAATTTTATTACAATAAAAAATTATTTTTTTATTAATTAGGTGGGTCGTGGGCTGGTCCGTCCCGTCCGCGGGTTGGTCTGACAGGTTGACGGGCTTAGCGGGCGGGCCAAAGCGGGCTGATGGACTGAAAATATCAACCTGCTCCGCCATATTATGGCGGGCCTAGCCCGTTTTGACATCCCTTCTTACAACCTTAGTTCAGTAATGTATGGTACATTTTGATCCCTCTCTGTTCACATGGGCGAATTTAGTTATTGGTGTTCTGAGAGTTTAAATGCCATTTGTAAGCAAACAGCAAGCCGGAGAATTACCATATCTCATTAAACTCGCTAGACTAATCCAACTTTCCGGTGCATCTAACCAGGTGCTCACAACTCGTGTGGTACTTCTTAAGTTGCAGTACACTTATAAGTGGTAAAATAAGGAATAAACCTCGGTCATTTAGTCAGCAATTTCATAGAAAGGCCATTTTCTTTAATTTCTAGCGTCAGGAAAAAAATATATATATGAAAGAAGATTAAAATAAATAGTCAACAACTAAACACAAGGATTTAAAATCTCTAGAATTAAATTGATTTGTTCATCCTATTTTATAGATTAATGCACGGATTACTTGAAAAAGAATTTATCATAGTTATTTGTTACATAGCAGCCTCCCAACTTCACATAAAAAATGATGATAAACACCAATAACAAAAATAATATATCCCACCAAACAAAATTTATAATATGGATCATTCAAATCATTAGGTTTGGTTATAAAACAAATTCTCTACTTGTGGACTCATAATTTGGTTAGGGCTCTGTTAGTTCTACTGTAAACTATTGAAAAACTCCAAACACAAAAAAAGTCTGTCGACTAAAAAAATATATTGTGGCACTGCAACTCTCTTTGACAAAAATGTTTGGTTTTTGCGCCCATGGAATTATACATACAATATCTGTTACACAGTAATACCAATTAACATCGTAATCTTTGTTGAGGAAGGAGAGAAACATAACTGTAGATGAGTTGAGAAGCTAAAAGCTTTTGAGTGATTACTCATCAAGTTCAAAACCTGAGATGAATCACTTTAAGACATCAGTAGGGGAGAGTGGAGGACCATCGAGCTGGTAAAGGTTGAATGCAGGGCCCACAAACCTAAACAATATCCACCCCCCAATCATGATGAAGATTGAAGCATATGCAAATTTGTTGAGCCAAAAGAGAGCACCTTTCTCTCCCACATAGAGCTCCACTGCTTTCTCACCCAAACTCATCTCCTCCCATTTCTTGGGAGGACTCTCAACCATTCTGCCTGTGGATTGCATGGCGTTTTCTCTCTCCTTCTGTCGTCTGGCTTGCCTTCTCGACCTTCTCCGGAAGCTCAATTCTACAGGATTCTCTGGTGTTGCAATTGGTGCTTTAACAGATTTTGCATCACCATTGGTTGTGTTGTTGTTGCTGCTGCTACTACTACTATTATTATCAGTGGTGGTGCAGCATATGGGGTTGAAACTGAAAGACCCTTGACGGTGGGGAAGAAAGATTTGGTTGTGTCTTGATGATGGAAGTGAACGTCTGGTGAGAATGGTGAGGGAAGATGAGTTTGGATAGATAGAGATGGTTTCCATGGCTTCCTGGAATGTAACGTGTGGTTATATTTTGTTTATCCACTTCCCTTTTATAATCCTCTCACTCTTATTGGACTTCACTTCAGAATTGAGTTGGGCTTTTCGAAACACTAGTATTTATGAAAATTAAGAAGCCTTCACAAAATAATTATAAATATACAAAACTAAAATATTCAATATTAATCTTACTTTTCTTTAATTTTTATCCACTATTTTTATTTTTTTCTAAAATTTATAATTTGATCTAATTCTCAATTTCACATTCATTATATATATATATATATATATATATATATATATATATATATATAATGAATGTATATTTCCAACTGAATTATAAATTTAACATATTCATTTAAGGTATTAATAGTTAGTTTAATCAATAAATAAAACGTATACTAGATTGAAAATCGAATCATAACTATAAATTTTATAAATTTGTAGACTAAGATAAAAAAAATATAACCTTGCAAAAACTAAACAAAACTAAAGGTGTTATTGTTGTTCAATTTGATTTTGTGTGCATTTTCTAAAAAAATTATGTTTATTTAGTTTATCTTTAATTTAAGTATATTTTGAGAAAAAAAGGTGGATTAATTAACAAATTTAAAAGTATAAAGAGCGAATTAAATTTTAATACAAAAAATACAAATACATAAACTAAAAATATATTTTTCTTATTCATACAGTTAAAAACTCTTGTTACCCTTTTCATTTCAAAATGTTTTTTTTAATATTTAAGGTGCTTTACTTGTGGATCTGAGATCGTTTTCTGTAAAATTCTCCTTAATTAAGGATTTAGAGCACTTAATAAATACTATTATTTTTTAATGTTGCATTTTTAAAGGAAAAAAAACTCATATTTAAAGTTATCATCATATAAAAAGTATATTATGTTAAATATTTTAGAAGTAAAAAAAGATATTTTCTTTAAGTTATAATTCAAAAATTTATTTTGTAAATATATTTTGTTTATGCTTAAGAAAAGTGATCATTAAAAAAATCTATTTATATTAGCAGAATTATAAGGAAAGGCAGAAACTATTTTTGGATAGGTTATTCAGACATTTAAAAATTTAATTATTTTATTAAAATAAAAATTTTTTTCTATATAATTTTAAACAAACATACCATTGTAAATTTTTTGAAAATGATTCCTTTTGTTTATAATGGTAAAATAGTAAAGTTTGTCTACTGAATAATTGGAAAATTAAATAATCTTTTCTATGGATTGGAGAAAAAAAAACCTTTAAATTATAACTTCATTCTTAAAATTTACAAGGGAAAAAAAATAGTATATTTAATATTTTCTTTAATCATTATGCAAATATTATAGAAATTTATAGATATTGTGAAATAGAGAGATATTAGAGATTTTTTCATTACATTTTTAAACATATAATCTAGTATGATTCCATTAATTTAAACATACAATCTTATCATTTAAACCACAAATCTTACATGGAATTATATTATGAAAATGTGATTAATTCAAGTATTAATTTTAAATCACAAAGTTTATTGTAAATGAAAAAGTAACATTTTTCAATATTATTGGAGCAGTATTATTTGCTTCCAATCAGCATTAATAAATCCTGAAAAGATTCAGGAACACAACAATGACCAACCAAAAACAGCAGAGTGGTGTCAAGAAAGACAACCTAACCAACCAACCCAACTCACACCATCTTCATCTTCATCAATCAAAATCACAGACCACAAATTTCCTCCTCCTCTGAAAACCGAAGGTGCTTTCCTTTGGGTGTGGGCAACCCCTTCAAACGTATCACGTTTGATGAATCCTTGTCACCACAAGGTTCCACCACTTTCTCCACAAGCTCATCCTCACTGTCGTAAACAAACCTTGTGTGCTTCCCGCACCCATTTTCATTCACGCTGATGTTGTTCAACCCAGCACACAGTTCATCAAGTAATAACACTCCATCATCATCATAACACTCTTCAGCCTCTTCAGCATCCTCATAATAATCTCCCTCTTCCTCCTTTCCATTCATTTCCTCGTCCACATCATCTTCATCCTCATCATGTGTGCTTGCATTCACTTGCATCGACCAAACAGAAGCACCATCATCCTCAGTGGACACACCACTCCCATGTGTCACTTCCTGATAAGTCACCTCTGAAGAGCATTCTGAAACCTCGGATTTGTCCGAGAAATCCAACAGCAAGGACCGGGTTATCACACTCTTTTCACATTCAACCTCCTCCTTATCCTTTTCCAATACTTCATTCACCTCCTGCCATCAAATGACCAAAAAAGAGAAAACCTTTATTCTCACATTTCAAGCAATACCATATAAAATAATTAGAGAGAAACACAATACAAATAGCGGTTTCCTTGTTCTAATTGGTAAAAAAAAAAAAACTGATTTTTTTTTTCTGAATTTTATTTCTTCCGTTTCTTAAATTCAAATTTCATTATTTCTTCTGATCTAATGCTTCATTCACCTTAGCAAAGAGATCCAAACATAACAAACCCATTTTCTTCAGTCCACATAATATCAGACTCATTACATTGTATCAATTACTTAAAAAAATTCATTTCTTGAAAACAAAAGGGGCAAGAAAACAAGACGAAGTCTAACCCGAGAGATCAATTGTTCTTCAATCAAACAAGAAGGAGGCGACACCAAAGCCATAGCATCACCATCGGCTCCGGCAAGATTGGGAACCTGAGGGGTGTTTGCGGGAGTGGGAGCAAGAAGTGACATGGGGGAATTAGCAAGTTGATTGAAAGGGGAAATAACTTCCATGGTGAGTTTCGAAATAACAGCCTCTTCCTCCACTTTCTGCAAAAGGGTCTTCACCTGACCCCTCAGCAATGCCTCTCCTGAACCCGGCGTTTTCTTCACCCTCTTCTGCTTCGCCATAGACGACAACGGCGTTTCGAGGTCGTTCCCGTTAGCAAGCCCCACGATCGGAGAATCGTTGGATATGTCAACGAGGGCAGACCGATCCTGATTCTGCATGCCGTTTCTTTGCCGGATTTTTGAAACGGCCATTTCCGAGTCCTCATTCTTTTTTCCTATGAAATCAAAAGAAAAAAAATAAATCAATTTGTGAAGAAGGATAAAGGTGGTGGAGTTTGAGGGGAAGAGTGACTTACTTGAAAGGGGAATGCTGTTGGAGGCGGTTTGGGATCTTGTGACTCTTCTTGCAGTGGACAACGGAGTCTCCATTGGAACTGGAAATTTCAATACGATTTCGGATTTTGCAGAGAGAGAGAGAGAGAGAGATTAGGGAAGAAGATAGGAACTAGAAGAGTGTGGGCGTTTTTCTGGACTAAACGGTGGGGTTTATAAAAAGGTTGCGGCATCAAAAATTGACCGTTGGCGCGTGTGAATATTTGCTTATTACCTAAAATAAAACAAAACAAAATGAACTAGCCGTTGGCTTTCATTATTATTTTGAATTCTGAGCCCTGTGTTAACTTCGGCCCGTTAGTTTTAGAGGAAATTGTGGGCTTTAATACGGGCCTTATTGGATGCGTAATCAGCCCATTGGAAATGTATTACCGAATTATAAATTTCAGGAGCCAATGGTTAGTTATAAATCTTGATTTTATTAATCCTAGATTAATTTTTGAAATATAAACTTTAAAATATTTCAAAAAATATATGTTTCGCAGCGTGCTGAATTTTTTAATAATTTTGAAAAAAAAATTGAACGTCAAACTTTTATGTTTAGCAATTTTGGAAAATATTTATGAAAACTTAAAACTCCAGTTCCAAAAATATGTTTTTAGGTTAAACTTTAAATTATATATATATATATATATATATTGAAATATACAGAATTTTATTTTACAATCATTTAGCTGCAGTGCATAAAATTTAACTTTTAGATTTTTACTATTATACTTTTCAACTGTAATTGTCTTATCCGACATTGTTTCAATTTAAATAAATAAATAATAAACTTTTTATAATACATATTAGGATTTTAGTAAGGAAAATTATCTGATTTGAACCTACAAAATTGTTTATTTTATGTGGATTTTTTTAAATTTAATTTTCCTGACGATTTTTCAAAAAAAAATCAACAAATTTGCCATATTTAAATATTGATTATTTCCTTAAATTCATTGAAGGCGATTGTTTTATGGAGGAGGGGTTACCAGTAAACACTTTCCCATCATAAAATGACTAAATGGTTTAGTATTACACATAACAAATGTTTTCATCACTTGTTTTTTTTTTAAATAATATCTAGAGTTTATGTGTTTTAAAAAATAAAATAAAACTTATAAAAAAAATCATGACCAAGATTATTTTAAAATAAATATTATTTATAGGTTGAAAAAACAAGTAAACAATCACATGATGGAGTGCGTCTTTGTGTGCTGGACTACCCTGGCAAACGGAACTTCTTGGAATTGGAATCCAATTCATTGTGTTTATATTATAAAATCTATCACTTCTACCTCTTTCTCTTCTTTATATACCTACTTTCTTCTAATTGTTCTTCATCACCACCTTCAATGGCCTTCTCTGCAACCTTCAACTTCTCATCACTTATTCTGCTCTTCATCATCCTTCTTCATCTGGCTGAAGCACACCAGACGGTGGTATAACTAATAGCACTGTCATTTTATAATTACAAGTTAACTATTTTGTTCGTTCTTCACATGCACGGGTTTTTTTGCTCACAGGTGGGTGTCTACGAAACTCCAGCACCAACCCCTCTTCCAGACGCAATAGGTAATGTCATATACTTTCTTGTGCCATTAACTAGTTTTTGTGACTAATAAGTTTCTGATACTAGATTGTGGAGTGGCATGTGAAGGAAGGTGCAAGATGTCATCAAGACCACGTCTTTGCAAGAGGGCATGTGGGAGTTGCTGTGCTGACTGCAAGTGTGTTCCTCCTGGCACTTACGGAAACCTTCGTTCTTGCCCTTGCTACGATAATCTCACCACTCGCAATCAAATTCACAAATGTCCTTAGTTTCAGCCTCTTCCCAACATACACTTTTTCTCTTCCCCCTGTTCATGAGTTTTTCATCCTGCTATTTGTATTGGTTTAATTTGGTCTACTCAAGTTAATAAAATAAGAGTTCAAGTTGTTTACCAGTTCATATAAGATAACCCTAGCTAGTAATATAAAAAAAGATGATAAAACATAATGTTTTGATAAAGAATTATTATTGTAAACGGAATCTAGTGCTTTTTTCAAGTCTTTTTCAAAATGAAACCAAAGCCTCTCTTACCAAGGTGGTCTTCTTTAAGCATCATTCTAATCATTGATCAAAGGTTTCTTCGAAGCTCTAGTTACTCTAGAGAGGTTATGTAAGGCATTTCTTTTTGTTTGGGAGAAACGAAAACCTTATAAACCTCGTGAGTCGAATGAATTTAGCCTCTCTCTCTCTCTTTTTTTTTTTCACCTTACAAGGTAAAAAATATTTCAATTTTATGAAAATGGCTCATTCCAATTAAATCATGTTACATTACACAATTTTATATTAAAGAAGTCTTCGTAAGTAATACCATTTTTGTGTAATTTTTTTTAAATTAAAATAGTACGACTTTAATGATATCTAATTTTTTAATAAATATAAATTAAACATATTTAATATTATATATCTTAGAAAATAAGTTTATTTGTATATATACATATATGTTATAAAAATTTTAATTAAATAAATAATATACTAATACTAAAATAAATATAAATTCTAAAAAATAATTAATTTATAAATATATATTTAATTATTATATATATATATATATATATTATATACAAATACTAAATTTATTAATTATATTAATAACTTTAAATTTATATATATATATATATATATGATTTATATATATGATTTATATATATATATATATATATATGTGTGTGTGTGTGTATGATTATTTGTTTTAAAGATAAATACATAAAAAATTAATTTAAATACTATTTCTTTTATTAAAAATATATATATAATAAATTAATATATTTATTTTATAATCTATTTTTACATACAAATTTACAATTTTTAACAATATATAATAGTAAATATAAAATATATATTGATTATTTTTTAAAATTAGATATAATTAGAGTCTTATTACACGACGTTAATTGAAAGGAAATATATATATATATATATATATATATATATATATATATATATATATATATATATATATATATATATATATATATATAAACGTTTACAAGTTTTACATTGATTTATAATTAATATTAATAATAGTTCATGTATATATTTTTATCTTAATCAATTTTATGAATAAAATTATTAAAATAATTTAAAAATTACTAATATTTTAAAAATAGAAATTCATCTTAATAATATTATTATAACGGATAAAATTAATAATTTTCAATTATATATATCCTGTTTGAAGTTTTGAAGTCTCCATTACGAGGAAGAACTGTGGGTTATTATTGTTTTTTCTTGCAAATTTACCTCCTGTTGTAAACTCTCGTTCTACGTGTAACTACTTTCACAATATTATTCCTTGTTCTTATAAAATAAACAATATCAAATAAATTAGTTAATTTTAACCAATAATATGATAAATTTAAACTTTATTTTAAAATGTTCATAAAATTATATTGTTTAAGTGTTATTTATATTTTTTTATAGTAATTGAATAATCTCTTGAAATCATGGAATTTTAATTAATAAAATCAACGTTAACATATTTTCATATAGTTATATTACACAACTTCATTGTATCAAATGCCTCTCGTATTAATTAATATGATTAAATAATTAAGACGAAACCTGATAGTATCAAAATGAAAAAAAAAAAATCTCACTAATATTATTGTTTAAAATAAATTAATAAAAACAAACAAACAAACTTATAAGTTTATTAAGATTGAAAAAAGGATTTGCAAATAATTTCTTTACAAATTTCAGATTAAAAAATACATAATTCACAGAATGTGATAACGTCTCTTAGGGCAAAAAAATCAAATCAACGAAGTAAAAACTACGAAAAAATTGTTTAAAGAAATGTATTTTGAAAAAAATGATATATTATATTTGTCCGTTGATTTTACTGTATGTTTATAGTGCGTAATATTTGTAAATATGAAGTTTTATGTTATAAATTTTAAATTTGAATCTCATATATATATATATATATATATATATATATATATATATATATATATATATATATAATATCTAAACATATAAATTTACGTAATGATTGTCTTAACAATATTGTGTAAAATGAATAAAAAATAATATTTTATTTAATATATTTTGTGAAAAAGTGATCAAACATACGTACCATTGGTATTGACATGAAGTGACTGTCTTTAAATAACATTAATGTCCAAATGTGAAGCGATAATCTATCATTAATAATAAATAACTTTTTCAAAATAATTAAATTTGTTTTAAAATACTCTCTCAAATAAATAACTATATGTATTTTTTTCATGTTATTCAGACAAAATTCAAACAACATCACTAAAAAAACAATTTAGAATTACTCTTCACCTAACTTTACAAGTTATTTTTATTTTATTTTAAGATTAAAATAAATTATCCATTAAAACTATTAAAATAAAAAATAAAGATGCTGATGTGTTAGAATAACTTGATTTTTTTTTTCATGATATATATAACTTGTTTGAAATAGTATCTCTAAACGGATTAGTCTCTTACTCTAATTACTGAATAATTAAGTGAACAAAAAATTAAATACTTAACCCAGTTATACCCTATTTAACTCTTGATGCATTAAGATCATGTTTCATATTCATGTTTAATTCTTGATGCAGTAAGCAACTTTTATCATTTTTAGTGATAGAACTTACTTGACACAAAAAACAAGTTATATATAACCAATTACAAATTAAGCGGGTTGACTTAAAAACATAATCATTTATGTTTTTGGGTTTTCTTACAATAAATATTTTCCCATTAATACATTTGTTTGAAAAACAAATCCGACAAAAAAAATATGAGTACAGATACATGATTAGAAAGAAAATATTTCAACTATTTAGTAGTAAAAAAATAATAAATAAAAATATTTTATTTTTATAGGTTTTATTTTTCTATCAAATATAAGAAAACATATTAAAAATATAATATTTCTTAAAATCATTTATCTTTTATATCTAAAATAAATAAATAAGTAATTTTACAATTACACAATTACTTAGTTTTTATTTATTTATTATTATTGAAGATGATAATATTTTTAACATTTTTTTTATCAAACATTGTCTAGAAGTTGACAATATTTAATTTAAAGCATAAAAATTAGGAAACCCTAACTTAATTTTATGAAAACGCCTATGAATTTTAAAAAATGTACACATTCAATTACTGCTCTCATTGATTATGTCAAAGTGTTATCGTAATTAGTTGTGCAATTTATTGATGAAAAAAAAAATTAACCTGATTGGCCAACTGTACCTGTCCCCTGCACTGCATCTAACAATAGTTGGTTCTAGAATTCTAGCAAAGAATATTGATAATTTCTTTTATATGCATAAAATAAAGACAATAAAAATTTATTATTGTAATAATTCTCTCTCTCTCTCTCTCTCTCTCTCTCTCTATATATATATATATATATATATATATATATATATTAAAATACAATAATAATAAATGTATTTTTAGGTTTTTATACTGTTACTTTTTTAAAAATCTTTATATTAATTTTGATCAATAGGATTCACACGATTAATAAAAGAAAAAAACATAATTAAAAAGAATTAATCTGATTTAAATTTAAAATATCAACAAAATAAAAATATTAATTTAATGTTAACATGCATTTTATGGAGTTTTAGAGCCAGTGAGGAAAGGTCGTAAATCAAGTTTATTGTTTTTTCTTTTCTTTTTATTCATTCTTATTATTAATTATTAGGAGAAATATATGAATTAAGATCATGTGTGTCTATATTTTCTTCATAATTATTTTTTTAATGTATTAACTTTGTTATTGATTTTAATTGTAAATTTTAATTTTTTTACCACTAATAAAAACAAATAAGGAAATAAAATTGAACATATTATAAAAAGACCGTCAAAGTTCTTCTTAAATACGTCTTATAACAAAGACGTAGGAAATATATAACTTTCAATTTTAGTGAGTTTTTTTGTTTTTAACTTGTCTCATCAACCTGATTGATTGTTAACTTGACGTAGAAAACATACTTTTGGTGAAGTGTTTCAATTTAATTATAATAATAGTTATTTTTTTTTGTTTAGTAATAAATAAACAAGTAATAAAAAAAAGAATTGATATAATTGATTGTATTAGGGAATTAAAAGAAAAAGAAAAGTATAGAGGGAGATAAGAAGTAGAAGAGAGTTAGGTAAAGAACGTGAGGGACACTTTAATAGGGGAGCCTAATGAATAATGAGAAGGGGAAGAGGAGTAAGTAAGAGCTACCACTCCTATGAGGCCACGTTATTAAACATCACCCAATCTTCCATTCTTCCACCGATTATTCAACCCTCTCTGCATTCTATTTAACCCTTCCACACACTCACACATTCTCCTCAGTCCCACACCGCTCCCAACACAAATTACTTCCAACACACCAAACTTATTTCACCACCATGGCCCCAACAGCCAAGACTCTCACGTACCTGGCGCAGGAGAAGACCCTCGAATCCAGCTTCGTCAGGGACGAGGACGAGCGCCCCAAGGTTGCCTACAACCAGTTCAGCGACGAGATCCCCATTATTTCTCTCGACGGAATCGACGAAGTCCATGGCCGCAGACAAGACATTTGCGACAAAATCGTCCAGGCTTGCGAGAATTGGGGTATTTTCCAGGTTGTTGATCACGGTGTCGACCTTAAACTCATCTCCCAAATGACTCGTCTCGCCACCCAGTTCTTCGCTTTGCCGCCGGAGGAGAAGCTTCGCTTCGACATGTCCGGTGGCAAAAAGGGTGGCTTCATTGTCTCCAGCCATCTCCAAGTAACGTTAATTCTTCTTTGCTTTCCATTTTTACTTCTTTTTCGTTTTATGTTTTAACATACAAACTTCACGTTTTCCCCCAGTTTCAATCCCTATGCTCTCTTATTTTATATATATAAAAAAAGAAATTCAAATATATTTGACACAAATTGAAGAAATTATTTTTTTACGTAAGAACTAGATTTTTTTTCTGACGCATAAAAAAATTATATGAACTAAATAATAATGCTTTCTACGGCATTTTACAAATATCAAAATAGTTTGAGACTTGTCTCCTATGTGGCCACATCTTGCCAAAAATTCAATGAGACGTTAACACTCTTCTATATTCTTGTAGATTTTTCTTTTAATAAATATATCTTTTTCGTTTTAAGATGAAAGAAACAGGTAGGGTAAAAATAAATTAATTGGTAATTTGTATCATTTTTTAAAATTATTTATTACTATTATAGTTATTAAAATGTAAAAATAGTCTCATTATTAATTATTGAGTATTTTTAATTATAAAGATGTTAAAAAAATGATATAATAAATGATAAATATATATTTTTTCTGTGGCCTTGATAAAAAGTACTGTCACGTCGACATTCTAATGCCGGTAACCAAACACAAATATTCATCCTATTTTTCGATAAATGTGTTTGTTTTCCGTTTTGTCTTCATCTCTTCTCATTTCGATTTCGATGGTTTTATATTTTTTTTTATTCTTTCAACTATTCTATTCTTCGATGAATAACACCTGAGGTGTAGTTAAATATTAAAATGGATGTACAAAAGTTTTATAATTTCACACCAAAGCTTCCATGATGTACGGAACATTTTATTCTTAATTAATTAATTATTGACCAATGGCGAGTCATAATCAAGATTATCTATTGCGACCTAAACCTAGTTATTTTAATAATTAGAAAAAATTAAACTTTGGCAAGCGTTGACCCAAGTCATTTGTTGCCTAAATTTATTTTACAATTACAAACTCATTTTTAATTAATTTCTTTTAAGTATGAAGCAGTTTAATTTTAAAGGCATCGTTCAGCACTCTTGTTTTATTGGTGAAACGGGTAAGATAATAGCAAGGAAACGTCAGTGAGCATTCATTTTCATTATCATGGGACCCACACTCACGTGGGCACATAAAAGTCGTGATCTGAATTTTTGTTATGACAAATGAATCTATAACAAATATTTTTTTCGACGTCTCATAATTTATATTTTTACATCTACTCATTTATTTTCTTGATATTATTATATTATAAAATAAAGAAAAGTATTTATCAATTTTGTCGTTTCTTCTTTCATTACTTGATAAAAACATGATTTAAAATTTGTGACATCAAAATTGATGTCAGTTGAAAAACAACCAAGCATACACTACACACCTGGAAGACATGCAATGCAAGCTTATGTTTTGCCATCCCGACCAGAATATGAAATTAATTATCTGGGGTTTTGAAATACGACAGGGGGAATCGGTGCAAGATTGGAGAGAGATTGTGACATACTTTTCGTATCCAATCAAAGAGAGGGACTATTCCCGGTGGCCAGATACACCAGAAGGGTGGAGAGCAGTGACTGAGGAATATAGCGAGAAGCTGATGGGTCTGGCGTGCAAATTGTTGGAGGTATTGTCTGAGGCAATGGGACTAGAAAAGGACGCTTTGACCAATGCATGTGTTGATATGGACCAAAAGGTTGTGGTCAATTACTACCCCAAATGCCCTCAACCTGACCTCACCCTCGGTCTCAAACGCCACACTGATCCTGGTACCATCACCTTGCTGCTTCAAGACCAAGTGGGTGGACTTCAAGCAACCAAGGACAATGGTAAAACCTGGATCACTGTTCAGCCTGTTGAGGGTGCTTTTGTTGTCAATCTTGGAGACCATGGTCATGTGAGTAATATAAAAGTCAAAGTTTTCCTACGCACGCTCGCAGTTGCCACGATCATATCATTTTAAAGCTTATTTTATTAATTTCATGCATGCAGTATCTCAGCAATGGCAGGTTCAAGAATGCTGATCACCAAGCAGTGGTGAACTCCAACTATAGCCGTTTGTCAATAGCCACGTTTCAGAATCCAGCACCAAATGCAACTGTGTACCCTTTGAAGATCAGAGAGGGCGAGAAACCTGTGCTGGAGGAACCAATCACTTTTGCTGAAATGTACAGGAGGAAAATGAGTAAGGATCTTGAGAATGCTAGGATGAAGAAGCTGGCTAAAGAAAAGCAATTGCAGGACCTTGAGAAGGAAAAGCAATTGAAGGATCTTGAGAAGACAAATCTGGAGGCCAAACCTTTGAAGGAGATTCTTGCTTAATTAGTCTTCAAAGATACCACAAATAATCATCATTTCTCACTAGTTTGGTGTTTTTTAGCACTTTTTGAATGGCCATGAATCCTCATCGTTGTGCTTGTTTTTTAGTTTGAACTGTGTGTATCCTCTTTTGAGATGTGCTATTCATGTCCTGGGATCCAAGGTGGTTTCTATACTCCTTATATATAGATGGAAATAAGTGACACTGCCTTTTTGGCTGTTTGGTCTATTATTACAGTCCGTTGAGATTATTTGAGCATTATCTTTCATCTAAAACTCTGTTGTAAAATAAACATTAAGTAAAACTCATTTTTTTATTAATATTTTAAATTTTATTTATATTTGAAAAAAAATTCCATCCAAAATATCAAATAACTAGTTGGGTATATATTAGTATTATTTATAAAATTGAAAGATTTACACATATGACATGAAAATAAAATTACAAACATAAAACCTTCTATAATAATATTTTAATATAATATTTGAAGACAAATATTTGAAAAAAACTGTGAAAATACAAAGGAAAAAGAAAAATCACGGTTGGCTACTATATATATATATATATATTGTTGACTATATGTACGAAAGGGACTCAAATCTTTCATGAATCCAATTCAGAACTTTTCTCCTAAATTCTATGTTGTGAATTAAGCCACACTTATTATTATTATTATTATTATTATTATTATTAGTATTAGTATTAGTATTACATGTTGATTTTTTAGTTATAATAATATTCACACACTATAGTTCATACGAATCCACGTATTTTAATAATAAAAATTAAAACTTTATTCTTCATAAACGTTATGACGTAAAAGTTTCAACGTGGATAAAAGATGCACCGTGTATATTTAAAACATTTAAATATTTGTTAATTCATGTGAATTTAAGAATATTAAAATTAAAATATATTCAGAAACTAAAACATATTTAAATCTTGAAAAAAAAAAAGAGGGACCATGGAAATGGTAGACATCTAAACTTATCGAATCTCAACCGTTCACTATACCTAACTCCGATGTCCCCACGGTGATCTAATCAATGGGAAGCAATGCAACCCTAGAATTCTAGAAGACGAAACGAATGGGGCTACATTTGGATTAACGATGAAATAGGAAACTAAATTTTGGTTGTCCATATTGAATAATTTTATTTTTTTTGTTTAGTATTTATTATTGCCACACTAGAGTATGGTCTGAACTTATTTGTGGCTTTTAACATGAGAGAGAAGGCCAAACCCTACGACGCGTATTTAATAAAATATAGTTAGATTTAATTTTAAAAAATATTTAATTAAAATATTTGACGCGATAACATTATGATTCCCCTAACATGCAACGAAAAAGTTGTACGACAAAACACGTGTGTTCGAATCCAACCACAGCTATTTGATTAGATAGCGTTAGATGCAATTGGTCTCCGACTTCCAACTAAAAAGGGCAAAACATAGTTAATTAATTAGAAGAGATATTTTTGAAACATGATGCTAGTAGATCCATTTACTAGAACAAATATTGTTAACATTTATATTAGTCAGAAGATCACTAATTCTTGAAATTGCTTGGTTGTATCCTTTGTATTTAGTAGAAAAAAGTTCCTAATACATGAAATTATAATTAAGAAATTTCAAGATCGAATCAATAAAAAATGGATTTATTTTTTTTAGATTTTTATGATTTTTTTAATTGCGTTGTTTGATTTGAATTTCAAATTATAAATTAAGAATTTGACCAAATCAGTTATTATATTAAATATAATATATTAAAAATTAATTATTAATTAATAAATATGTATGATTATATTTATTTGATGTTTGTTTTATAGTTTAATTACATTTTATTTACCATGTGATAATAAGTTTCAAATTACTTAATTGTCCAGAACAAAAATAAGTTATATGCATCATATTTAAACTGGTGTAAAGAGATTATGAACTACTACCTCAGTACATCGAAGAGTTATAATCGTATGCTTTGTTTTTCAAGTGAATAAAACATAACAAATTAACTTTATTCAAACAAAATAAACAAATAAAAAAATATAAATATAAAAATTTAATATTTAAAGACAAGAAGAAATTTAATTTTAAAAAATAAATTAAAAAACTTCATTTTATTTATTTTTTAAATCTAATAAGTTAAACAAATAATTAAATCTTATTTATTAAATATTAAAAGTTGAGATAAGAAATAATCTTAACTAATTTTGTAAGTTAATTCATATGTCATGTTTTAAAAGATTTCAACCAGTATTATATATATATATATATATATATATATATATATATATATATATTTATTTATTTTTTCTTCTAAATACTAATGTATTAACAATTTTTATATAAGGATTCCAACAATGAGATTAAATGGAATAAGTTAAAAATTTTATATTAGAATTTAAACAATGTCTTATTTAAATATATAGTATCATCATATGTTTTACTTAAGCTATATCTTGTTACTAAATTTAAATATATAGAAGAAGAAATAACTTTTTTTCAAAAGTATTTTAGTTAAGGGGAATAATTATCACTCAAGAAAGATGCTAGTCGAAAGACTTGTTTTTCATTTTTCTCAAGCAAAAAACACTTAAAAGAAATTTTTTATTTATGTTGCATATTTGCTCAAGCGAAAGGACAACTTCATCAAGCAAAATGATGGAGAAAATAATGGTATTTATAGAGCAATTTTGCTTAAATGAAAATTCCATATTTTGAATGTTTATAAATGTAAGAAATTTAGAGTATAATGTATTTTTTGTGATTCAATTTGTATGCATATGGCTTAGGACAGAAATATATGTTACAAATACGAAACAATGTATCTTGAATGTTATTATATGTATTAAAAAAATATTGTTGTAATATTATAATTACTAAGAGGTATTATCATGTGTGTGGTGTAATATATATGAATATTGATTTGAGACTAAAAAAATATCTTGACTTTATTAATAATTAAAATCACTTAGATGATTTTATCATGTAGTAAGAATTAAAAGAAATTTCTAATAATTTATTTGAAGTGTGAAAATAAATTATGATTTGATAAATCATTTAAAAATTTACTTTGATCTAACATTCACACATTGCCTGTATATACTATATTAACTTACTTATGAAATTGTGATGTGACATGTGAAAATCTTTTATGTTTAAGTCAATCTTATTTTTTTTAACTTGTTTATGTGTGTTTGTTTTCATTGGTTTACTATTCATGTAGATGAAAGACCGATAGACATTTGTTTCAAGGGATTTGAAGAAATTTTTGAGTACTAATTTGAGGGACAATATTATGAAAATTTCCCGCTATTCGGGACACACCATTAAACAATTATGCATGACATAAAAAATAATGGTAACAATTTTGTTTTTTTCATGTACATTGTAAAAAAATGATTTTCGTTTATGAGAATCAATTATCAATAAACGATAAAAATTGATTCTCAATAGTTTATGATAAATAATTCTTAATTCTTAACAAACGAGAATCAATTCTCATCCTTATTATTCACACAATTTTCATTATTTAGATGACTAGAATCGATTTTTGTCCAATGCAAAGTCGATTCTCAATTATGAATGGCTACGTATAACTGATTTTCAATACCACAAAATCTGTGAGATTAATTCAACAAAAATTAATACTCATGTATAATATATAAAGAATCTATTTTTCTTAAGGATTAATTCTCTATATTATTATTAAATATGAGAATCAATTTTTGTATTTAATAATAATAATATAATTGATTAAATTATTACTAAAGTAATAATAATTCATACATTTAATAATAATAAAATTGATTTTAATAATAATAATAATAATTATTATAATAATTAAAATAAAATAAGTTATATAATTATAATATTTTAAATAATCAATATATAAATAATAATTATTATATGAATATTAATACTAATCATTATTATAATAATAATAATTAAAATACAAATAATTTAAATAATTATAATAATATTTTTTATTTAATAATTTGGTTATTTTTTAATTTTTTATTAAAATATGTTTTTTATCATTTACATCAATCAAATCATTCACAGAGTCTATAAACTTTTCTCTTATTTTACTACAATTTTTTAACATTTTTTTATTAATATAAATAATCTCACTTTCTACTTTTTCTTTCTATTTAAATTTATCATTTCTCTTCAAATTCATCATCTAATTTAAACCCACATTAAAAGTTTACGTGACATAATGTATTAGTCTTAATATGACATGATAATTATTAAGTTTAGAATAATTTTATATATTATTAATAATTATAAAAATACATATAATTATTGTTTTACAATAAAATTTAATTAAACATATTTATTTTGAATTACTAGTACATCATGTAATTTTTTAAATTATGACAATACTGTGTTTTGTACAGAAACATAAGTGCTAGGTATAACATCCCAATTTTTGTAATTAATTATTTGCTCAAGTTCCTACAAATTATTATATAAATATTATGTAAACTTTTTATAAAAAGAAAGGATATATTAAATATATATATAATAAATAATAATAATAAAAAAGAAAAGAAAATGATGTACAATATCCTTATTACGAAAAATGCAAAGAGAGAGAAGGTTATGTGGCCTTACTATACAATTGAAATTAAGGCGGTTGAATTAAGGTGGTGAAGAAAAGTCGAGAAAGAATTTAAGTCGGTAAGTTAGGTCTATAAATAGGATGAAATTGGACAAGTAATTCACGGCCAAACAAAAAAGCACCAAATTTTGAGAAGCGAAATTTGAAAGAAGAAGAAGAAAAGGATAGAATTGAGAAATAAATCGGTGGAATACTAGCAAATCTTGGAGAAATAGATATGGGGTAGATGTTTAATTTTATCAAAATGTCTGAATTTGATAGTTGATTCACTGATTCAAAGTTTGAAATGTTTGTTGAAATTTTTCAAATTAAGGATGAATTATATAATAAAATTGTTGTTTTTAACTTAAATTGAACATGTTTATGGTTTAATTT